TTATATCCTACAATTTTTTGTATCATTCATTATAGAAGGAGTTATAAGAAATTATTTGGGTTGTTTTTGCAAATGGTTATTACTGATTTTCATCCATTTTGGGGGGTGGGGGAAACATGTTTCAAGTTTTGAACTTGCTCAGCTCAAACTCTGTTTTGAGGTGAGTTGCCAATTATTATGCATCGAAATAGTACAAAAAAGGGAAGGAAAAATACTAAAATGGGGAGGCATCAAAGCCATTCAGTGATAACTTTTATGCTTCATAAATGCCAACTGATTGCTGAGAGGCAAATACCTGAAAGTCACATGGGAAGGGAATGTAGTACCCAGGAAGTCAGTGTTGTTTGAGATTCTCTGCTTCATTACATTTTGCTTGAAGGTCATACTTGTCTTTGAATATAGCACTCCAACCCCTGGCTTACCTGAATGAACTAGAATTCAGTTTCAAACACTTTTATAGCATTGTTTATCTGCTAATATTTTGGGTGCTGCTAGAAACCTTGCTATTTAGGAGAACCATAAATATATTATTCAGCTGCTGCAGCTGTTACTATGGTTTACCAGCGGTCAGTTTTTACTTTGATCAGATTGGTTTATTTTTAGAAGAATTTAAAATTGTTTTAGAAGTTACTAGCTGCTCAGGGTTCATCATGAATGTTAATAAGATTACTGACCCAAATTTAAAGGTATGTAAACAGAACTGTTTATGCAATACTGATTTCCTCTCCCTTGTTATTCATGGACAGCTGCTCTTAAAAATCAGGAGATTCTTCAGAACAGGATGATCAGACAGAAAGAGCGAGAGAGAACAATGACATGTGAAGGTGCCCTTTATTCAGTGTTGAATCCAAATTACTGTTAATACTTAGTAATGAGAAAGCAAACAAAAGCTTATTATATTGATTGTTAGTGGAACTAATTCAGATATCAAATCCAAGGCAGATACTATCTTTACTTTTGGATAAGTATCTTTACTTATCCAAGTAGAAGAGGACAAAAAGTGTAATGTTATATTTCAATACATTGTAATATTGAAGTAATGACAGGCAGCTTCACTCCCATAAAATACATCTGCCCATTTTTTGCTGCCTCTTACTACTGCCATTTTATGGAATAGCTGAGGAACATAGGAGATAATAAATGTGTTCTGGACATTGTGGAGTTATAGACTCCAATGCATCAATCATTTACAGGCAAACTATTATTACACTCTAAATAGATGCTTGTATCTCAGCGTACACAAAATTGCTGCACTTAACCGAGATCATACTTATATATAAATTCATCTCTGGAGAGTATTGAGGAAAAATATAGGAGCAGAAGAAAATAACACAGTGAAGAGATTACACACGGGAGATCTTCCATACTTATACTAATGAAGCAAATTATCCTAAGGCGAAGAAAACTGCTTCAAAAAGCAAGTTGTTCTGTCTCAGATCAAAATGCTGAAGTGAGCCTGATCTGTCTCTTCAATACCAGCCTAGCTATTTTAATCTGATGCAACACTTGAATCAAGTCCTTTGCTTTGAAGGTGTGCTTTAACTGAAACCTTGGCAAGAGAAGTTCCCTTCAAAGCTCCACACAGCTTTACTGCCTGGTTACTTATATTTCTTTGCCCCTGTATGTTCTGAAAAGTTATTCTCTTGTTAAAAAGTACAGAATAATACTTGGGTATATAAAGATTCCAGATTATCCACAAGTAATGTTTTACAGATTGCACCTGTAGATATACCCAGAACTTGCTGGTGAACTTGTCACAGTGAATTATAGGAACATTTCTTTTATTAGCTCAACATTATAGCCCTTGTGTTGTGGCCTGCCAGCGGCCTGCGCGGATCATGGCTGATCCCGATGAAGAGGAGGCTGGTGTGGTGTCGTGCCAGCAGCTGCACAGCCAGCGCTCGCGTCGGACAGTGAGGAGGCTGAAGAGGATGTGATGCCAGAGGCAGAAACTCAGCCAGGGCCTTCAGAAGCTCCAGAGGCTCCTTCCAGTGGAGAGAGCGAAGTGGAGGAACCTCTCCTCAATGCTCGGGCATACAGGGCTGCCAAAAGGCAGGAGTGGCTACTCAGGAGGAGGAGGACTACTCGAGAGTAGGGCTTGAGGATAATGGCCACTCCCTTAGCCTATTTAAGTTGCACGCACTAGTGTGTTCTTGCTGGAAACAACTCGTATTATTATCAGAGTATTTTGGTTTTTATCATATCTGGTTTTCTGGGCTGGTTGCCAACCTTTGCAGGTCTTGTTTATTCTTGTTACTTAATAAATTTGATAAGGACCGTTGATGTGTGTCAATATCCTTGGAAATCCGGAGCTGGGGCAGAACACCTTGATTATATTATGCCAAATAAGCAGAGAATGGAGATCCTTGTGGTATTAAACAGGAAATGGAATTTTAATTATGTATCTGCCACAATGTCATTTATAATTAACATGGTATAATCAGATACTCAGTCCCCACTGTAGGTAGGCTGAAGATCAAGTCACATGTTACCGTATATCATCTGGTAAAGTATATTTATAGTTTATTTGATTTGAAGCATTAATAGAGCCCTGAAGGTAAACAAACCACTTTGGGCTAAATTATAATATGTGTGGATGATCTTAGAGGGTGAGAAGAAATGCTCTCTTGGAAGTGTTCTAGCCATCAGGGAAAGAAACTTGGAAGGACCCATTTAAATATTTTCAGGGAGGGCTTATTTTCAGGAGAGAGTTTATTTTCGGAGGAGGGCTTATTTTTGGGGAAACACAGTATATCTAAGAAGACTGATTATAATATAAATTTACTGAAGATAAGGAGGTGAATGTGTACAAATAATAGCAGTAGGAAACAGCAGAAGTAAAGAGTATTAATGACTAAACAAGAGCTTTCTATATACAATATAAGAATCTTAAGCTTATTACAAAAGGAAATCATGTCATAAGGGTAATAGAGGATATCCAATTAGCTTTTTTTTTTTTTTTGCTAATAGATTTGATAGATTTATGGCAAGCAAAATCTGGATTAGATATTGATAATTAGGCTACTAGAGTGAAATGGCAACCAATTGTATGTCAAAAATAAAATGTCCATAGCAAAATGTTTTAGCCTTGTAAAAGGCTGTAACAGACCTTCAACTGAGATATTCTAAGATTGCCTAGTATCTTCAGAGGTGACCTGGCCATTGAAATAAATGACTTATTCCATATGATTAACAGAACTCTAGTAACTGTCTTTGCATACAACGAAGGCTTACTTCTAACAAAGTTATCATGTCAGGTGTATGTCTAGCATGCTTGCCTTTTGCAGATGTTCATAACAATTTCCTTCTCAGAGGAGGCAATGATTGTTTATATCCAGAAATTTGATTCAGAAGAAGAAAATGTAAAAGATAAAAGAGCATGATGTAATAAAATGAGCATGTTACATATCTGTGAAATTAAGAGATTTAATAGATTTGAATAAAATCTGACACTTTTTGAGTTGAACAATATGCACACAAGGAAGTGAAAGTGGTTTAATTATGAAAGCTGCATTCCATTATTTTGTAATGGACATGAATGGTAGTGTGGGTATGACAAGAGAGTACGGAGAGACTTGGGTTGTTCACAAACAAAAAAAGAATTCTGTTTCGAATAATATTATCTTTTCAGTCCAGAGGAAAACCATAGTAGGAGTCTTGGAATGAAAAGTGAATAAATTGCAGAGATTGGATCTGCTAAGCTTAAAAAGGGCTTCTGGAAGATGCGAGAGCTGCCGTAAAAAATCTGATGAATCAGCTAGCAAAATTATTAAGTTGTTCAAGAAGACAAAACAAGAAAAAATGGGGTTTAGGCACAAGTTAGTTTCTTCATGTTAAGAGCTGTTTAGCCATAGATCATGCTACTCAGAAAGTCATGAATTCTTCTCTAGGGCTGGTTAAACAAAGGCTTGACTGTTCAACTTTCAAGAATGTATTCCCATACAGAAGAGGAGGCTGGTTTAGATGAATTTCCATAGTCCCAACATTTATATTCTATGATTCTAACAAATATGGATCTGGAAACTGAAGTATCAAAACCCAAAGTCGTTGCGTTTGTTGTGAAAAATAGAAAACTTTGTTCCATGGTAAACATAAATGGCAAAATAAAATCTAAAATACTGAATTGGTATCCCTTGGCTGAACATTAATAAAAAGATGAGAAAATTGATTAAAATTACAGTGGATAAATACTAAATCCTGTGGTGATTGTTGCAAGAAATGAATATTTGTTCAAAGAACAAAAATGGCTTATATATTTCTACTGTGAATATACATAGTAAAACAAGGGGATGGTTAAGAATTGATGGATGCTGAAGAAATGTAAATTGAATATAATGATCAGTCTAAAATAGGTATGTTGATTGATCATATATAAAGAATGAATTAACAAATATACAAAGGAAAAGTTAATACATTAATGGTTTGGAAAAAAAACCCGGGAAGATGAAAAACTTATAGTTGTAATGCTAGAAGTTACTCAGAAATAAACCACATTAGCTATAATGCAGTCTCAGGTAAACCTACATTAGTTTAGCCTTATAGTAAAACTCAAATGTATTACAAAAGAGCATTAACCTTGAAAATAAACATGATGGATACATAGATATGTAGTAAAAACATGTTTTGTTCCCATACTTTTAAAATTATTTTCTAGTATTTCGTTGAATGTTCTCTAAGCACAATTAAGCATGTGCCCACCAAATATTACAGACATGGATATAGCTTAGGTTTGGTTGGGTTATGGAGATTTTATTCTATTTTTAAAATTGAATTGCTTTCTATGGCAGTATAGAGCAATTATAAAGGAGCAACAGAGAATACAGAATTTCAACATAATGCATTGAGAAACAAGAAATTTTGTTTTAGAGGAAATTATAAATTTATACATATTAGAGTCCTGTATAAATCTATAAAAATAGTTTTTAACAATCTGGACAGTAAAAATAAATATTTAATACCTTTTCCATTATATTTGTATAGAAACATAGACAGACAGTAAACATCTTTCCATATCTTTATTCCATACAAAATGCTCATTTTAATTTCTGTACATAACTAAAAATAGTATACTTCCGTCAAAGCAAATAAGAAAATATTAGCCTATCTACCATTGAGATAGGATGTTTAATTGTATAGGTTACCTGAAAATGTATTCTCTCCTAAAGAGAACTGCCAGTGTTAGGTTCTATAGATGGTGGAGGCGGTGGAGGTGGAGGTGGAGGAGGTAAAGATAACATAGACAATAAAGGCTCATAGGTGTTCTGAGGGCACGTAGGAGGCCACCCCCAATCTACTGGTGGGGGTGGGGGTGGGGGTGGGGGTGGAAAATTTGCATTATGACTAACAGTTTCAAAAGATGGGGGTGGGAAGGAATACTGATGTCTTCTCATACTTTCCAGTCTCTGTTGCTGACAAAAAGTAGGTGGTTTTGGCAAGTGTGCATAGTCAGAGGAATAATATTGTGGAGTTATATTGTGCTGTCTATAGAAACGTGGAAAAGAAGCTACTTGAGGAGGTCTGTTCCATGAAAATCTGGTAGTAGGCTGTCCTCTACAATATCCAACTGAATATTCTGAAGGAGGTTGTGGTCTGGACTGATAATTTGGTCCTTTATCATCTACAGAAGGAAACAAAAACATGAAGAGATTAGCATAATTCAATATTTTATGAACATTGTAAAAACAAGGAATGCATAAGGCTATGTTTTCCCCAGGACTTTACTGTTAATTAAATAAACCGAAGTTCCGAATAAATTCTTGGCATATTATATAACAGTCATCAAATTGTGTACTAATTGTTTATTTTTATATTTTTATTTAAAAAGCATATGATTTTTAATATTATGTAGTACATATTAGCTTCCCTAATAGAAAACACTGAGGTAACATTTGATTTTTTTGAGTTATGGACTGTGCAGCAAATGAATGAATTTTTGTGTTTAAAGAAAAAATTAGCTTCTGTATAAATCTTGAAAGAGGCAACTATGAATAGTTCAAGATTAGTATTATTTTATCAAACAGACATTCTTCATAAATATAAAAACCCACAGATTGACATGTAGAATGTAAATGCATTTGTAATACATGATTATCCATGTCCCACTTTCCAACATTCAGCATTATGTAAGTAAAATTATTGATCTGCCATTTTGACAAAGGTAGCATTATTTTTCTTACAAAATACGAAGAATTGTTAACCAATGTTCTTTTGTATCCCACTATTTCTATTTACTTGATGTCTGAACAGCTGAAGAGATCTATTCTTCCATTTTTATAAAGGTAATTTTTATAAATATGAAAATACTAAATTTGAAAGGCTCTTAAATATAAAGTCAAAAGTGAGGAATGGATTATATCAACATTAAACAAATAATATATAAAACTGGATTTCTGGGTTGTTTAAATATTAATTCAATATCTTAGAACAGCAGCTACTTACTGCTATCATTTTGCTGCAATCTGAGCTTCTTTCTTTTTATATTCTGAGATTTCTTGTGTGATTTTGCTGCTTTTTCTTTTTCATCATCACTGAAATCTAAAGCCTAGAAAAAAATAAAATAAAAAACTGGAAGGTTAAAAAAAAAGGTGAAGGTTGGCATTTTATAGCAATTCCACAATATCTAGTCATTTATCTAAGAACATATATCTAAGAACACTATAATGTTTTGGATTTAATTCCAAAAACATGATTCAGTACAAATAAACACACAAAGATAGCACTTCTTTGCAACTCTATATAAGATTTGTGTCTTTTCACACAGCATGTATGCTCTTAAAAAGTTGCAAAGGCATTATCTTTGTACTCCGACTCTCCCCGATATACCTTTTCCAAATTATTTCCAAAATGCTTCATAGCCACTTTTCAATTATGAAAGAATTCAGAGATTAAATGACATAAAGTCACTTTATCACTGAACCACCTAGAATACTAGACTTGTGTGGGTTGGAGAAATAGAACACAGAGAATGCTAGAATATTCTGTTTCTGGATCTGCAGGTTTGCATATCCCTATTGGATGATTGTTGTGACTCTGATCCCCGAGCCCGTCTTATCAGAGGGAGAAGACTCCGAAAGTGAAGGAGAGGAGTTGGCAAGGCCTCCCTCTCCAGGACCCTCCTCTCTGGCAATGCCTCCTCTCTTCAGAAGGAGAAGAGATAGGCCAGGAGCCAGGCACTTCCGAGCAGCTGCAGTTAGACAGTGACGGAGATAAGTCTTGGCTGGATCCCCGACAGCGTCGGAAAGACAAGTATGCACAGCAGAGAAGGAGGCATGCCAGAGATTAAGCTGAGTCACTGGACCACACCCCACAGGGGATAAAAGGGGGTGAAGTGGCCATTCAGGTTTTGTGACGGACAAAACTGAAAGCTAGCAAGTCATTCTGCATTTCTGGAACTTTGTTATATGCTCTGCTTGGATTGATTCTTGGACTGGACTTGACTATTCTTTGGCTTTTGTGGACTTACTTTGATGTTTTCAGTTGGAGGAGATAAACCTCCCTTTGTAAGTAAAAACTTTTGGCAAGCAGCCACTGGGTTGCTGCCAATTCTGTTATCAAAGGAAATTCTTGTCTGCTGGTTTATTTTAACTCTTGGTCGACTGCTGGTGTGCGTGTGTGAGACGGGGACAGAACAGATGATATTCATCATACTGGTAGAAGGGAACTTCTGGAACTTTTCAATCCCTTCTCCACAAGAATCCCACAAAAATCCTACAGATGGTAGATCTGGTTCCTTTTGAATATATGAACTTTGACATAAAAAAGGAAGGAGACAATTCTCAAAAATTTGTGACTTGCATCCTAAATTTCTAATGAAAGTTAGCATGTAAGAATCTCTATTTTGGACTTTGGAAAGGGGATTTTTTTATATATAATAGTGAAATAGGAGTAGGAAATGCAGCACCAACAACTCTTTGACTTATTAAAAACAAATGAACTTTGAAAGAAGTTAAACTGAAGTTATCACTTCAGGAAAAAAAATATAAGATTCTCCAGAAGGAATTCATTTTCCCAAGTTAATGTTACTTGTTAAGTGATATTCTCTGCATATATATATATATATTATTCCTTTAAAAAGAAAGGAAGTACATTTTGAATTGGGAAAACTGAAGGGCAAAATCAGTATGCAAAGGATATCCTTGCCTCAGGAGGTGGCTCGTCATCATTCTTCCAAGATGCATCTGATCCCTTTTCTCTAGAACGCAAAAGAGGTTTTTGTTTTTTTTGTAAAGAACAAAAGATAGATTCTTATGTGTACACACACACAATAATATTAGCATTATTTGGAAGTTAATACCGTATTTTTTGGAGTATAAGGCGCACCAAAGTATACCTTAGTTTTTGGGGAGGAAAATAGGGGGGGGTGGAATTTCTGGCTACCAGGTATTCATCTGGCTAGCATTTTTAGCCTGGTCAGCTTCAGCACATTAGTTCGCCTGCTGGTTTTGAGGTTGGGACTGTGCTTCTAAAGCACAGCTGATTGTCGGAGGCAGCAGCAATTAGAAAAGCAGTCAAAGCACGGAAGTTCTCTTTGCTCGCATTGGGGCTGAAAAACAGCTTCAAAAGCATAACTAATCGTCGGAGGGAGCTCCAGTGACTAAAGCAGGCAAAGCGTGGAAGGGGTAAGAGAAGGCAGCAGCTGTTCCGGGTAGACATTTTGGGCACACACGTCACGTTTTCAGCCTCCAAACGTGTAGCGTTTTCGGGCGGCGATCAGCAGCGATGTGCTTTGATGATCCCCACAGCCTTGAAGGGGTCTCAAACAGAGCGTTTGGAGGCTGAAAACGTTAGCCAAAAAACACAAGGCATTGTCGGTGGCAATCACTACAGCAGGAAGAGGACATGCGGAGGCTGAAGGGGGCGGGGCTACATTCAAAGTATAAGACGCACCCAAATTTTCAGCCCTTTTAGGAGGGAAAAAAATTCGGAATTTTCTTCTTTAAAATAAAACTAAGCCATAGGGCTTCACAAGGAAAATGGCAAAATCTTTTGAAAAGTTACCAGATGTGCATTTTCAGACACTCTATAGAACAGGAATCCCCAACCCCAGGTCTGTGGACCGGCACTCTCTCCACTGAACCAGGCCCTGGTGCCCAAAATGTTGGGGGCTGCTGCTCTAGAACAGCCTTCCTCAACTGGAAAACTTTCTGACTATAGTGACTATAGTGGTCACAACAATCATAATTCAAGTTAGTATGACTAGATAAGATTATATTCAAAAACATGGTGGATAGCAAGTAGAGGAAAACTGCTTTAGTGAGCCTTTGCAGAAAATCCAGCTCATAACCAAAATTCTAAATACAGAATCAAGTTATGAAATATATGAAGAAACATGTAAATCTTAACTCTTAATTGTCGAGATATAGTTAAACATGTAGAGATAGGTTATTAGGATTAGGTCATTAGGACCTAAATAGGAGGAGGAAGGTGTGTTGGATATTATTGCCACTTTGAGTTATTTGTAAAAATAATAAAGGTGGTATAAAACTAAATTAAAATTAGAAGATAATTAATAAATTAGACATTGCTAACAAGAGTTCAGAATTTTTTCACTGTTCAAATTTGCAAATTATTTGCATGTATGCATGTATATTCCAAACTTTGAAAGCCAATTTGGTCTAGTGGTTAAGGCATCAGGTTAGAAACCAGGAATCTGTGGTCTCTAGTTTCGCCTGAGGCATGAAAGCTGGCTGAATTACTTTGCCCAAGTCACATTCTCATCTTAAAACATCACACTCAAACCACAAGCCAGATGATCAATTCCTGTATCAACCAATGGATCAACATTTGGTTGATCTGAAAAAAGCAGATCTTGTACTTGCCAAAAAAAAAAAAAATTAGATAGAAAAAAAATGTATACATCAAACTTACTGTTTCAATTTTTCTGGAAATATGTACTGAGTGAAGCTTTCCACAGCTGGAGCAAAATATACTGCATCTTTTATTTTAATATCTTTAGACTGAATGTGCTCAGGGCTGTTAAATTGTACTACATAAAAGGGATGTGACACTGGGCCAAATATCTCAAAGATCTGCAAGACAACAAATGTTATTGCTTCATAAAACAAATTCTGTAATTACAGGATGACATTTAAAAAGAAAAATTATTGGGGGAGTGAAAATACTATAAAAGTATTTTTCTAACCTCTGACATTCAGCCTCAAATTTAACTGCTTATAATTGTTCTAAAAGCAATTTTAGTATTATTTATTAATAGAGGGAATATGTCTTGAACTGTGAAGTCCTTGGTACTCTCTGAGCTTGTCTATTTACTTGTAGATGTTTCCTTACCCAGCTAGGTAACATCTTCTGTTCTAGTAAGTTTTTAAGGAATGCCAGAATTTCCAGATAAGGTAATTGCAAAATATCACAGAAAATACAGGTTTTAGAATCAAATAAAAATGCCTAATTTCAAGTTCACATGAACATTACACTGATTTCTTTTTAAAAAAATCTTGACTTTTAATATATCATACTGAATTCAAATTTCTCAACAATTCTGTGAACTGGCAATTATCTGGTAATTATCTATATACTGGTAATTATCTACCGTGTTTCCCCGAAAATAAGACCCTGTCTTATATTTTTTTGAAACCCGAAATAAGCGCTTGGCCTTATTGCCATGCGCTCAAAAGCCCAATTGGGTTTATTATCAGGGGATGTCTTATTTTGGGGGAAACAAGGTATATATTACTAAAAATCTTGGTCTGTACGCCTTAACTGGGCAAAACAATGCATCACAGGGCAACAGTTTTTGAACCTCAAATGGGCTGATTTAAAGAATGCATCCAAAATCCAGGACCCATGATTTCTTTGGGATTGAAATTTGGCAAATTTGTGGTCACTTCACTGCTGCCACACTGCTGCCCAGAGGTTCAGTAGACCGGTCCTGCCCTAACTCTCTGAAGGCCAGGTAGAACTCCCCCCTCCTTTGGTTCCTGGAGATCAGGTAAATCGATCCTACTCTAAACCTCTACGATAGATTGGTTCTGCATTACTTGCCATAGGTGGTCAGCCATGGTCAAACCAGCAGAAAGTTGGAAATTGCTCGTGTTCCCAATGATTTTTTGACCTTTATCTCTTTATTTAGTTAAGTAAGTATGAAATGAGGTCTAGTTAATAATAAAAGTTATGGTAATTCCAACCTAGAATAGTCAATTGATTTCTAATCTTATTTCTTGTTAATTGACATAAGCATTTATCTTATGAAATCAGTTTTATTTAACAATTGTATTAATTTAGGTGTCAGGTTTCGATGTCATCTCAAATAAATTGCACTCCCAAACAATTAATCTTTGCTGAAACATTCCATTTATTGAGTACGACAGATCTGACATTAGGTGCATGATAGCAGTTTTAGGATCATTTTAGAAAAATTTAGCAACTCAACTGTTTTAAATTTTTTACACCCATTATTCTATTTATTTGTGTTTCATATATTTTTCAAGAATATTAAGAAAGGCAAGTCTTATAAAAATAAGTATAGTATTGAAAAGCTAAATAAGCCGTATTAACAGATGTACTGTATCATAAAAATATACTCCTGAGCTAAATTTTCCTAGCAACATGTGCTTTGCAAACAAAGTAACATACAGTATTTTCCTAAAGAGCACTTATTATTTGTAATATGTCTCAAAAATGTATTTATGCTGGTAATACTTTTATGGTTGCTAAAACATTGTTTAATGGCATTAGCAATCAATGAGAAAGCATGCTGGAACAATAAAGACAGACTAAAATATTCATTGAAATAATTAAACATTTATTTACTTTTCCTAATGAATGACGATTTTCCTTGAAAAGTACTGTATTTTCATTCACTGGAGGAAGTCCCTTCTCGGACTCAATTATTACTAAAAAAAGAGAAAGAATCTGAATATTTTGCTAAATTCTTCTAATACAATAAAGTATACTGTATTAGCTTAATTAATATTATCCATGAACCTATAGGCATATTGAAAACAAAGGCTATAAATTGTTATACCTGCAATAATATATAATTTATTAGTTACAGTTTCAAAAAGAACTTATTCGTTTAAATATCTATTTCAATTTGCAAATGGAACTAGTTTAAAACATTTTAGTTCTCTATATAGCCTTGTATAGACATACAATTTACATTATAACATTCACCAGTTGTAATCAAGATATTATGGGAAAAAAAGCAAGAGTCATCTACAACATACAGAATAAAGACTGCAACAACCATTATATAGGACAGGCAGGCAGAAGACTAGCAGAGTGCATGAACACTAGCCAGCAGTTAGAAGGACACAATGAAAGCTCCTTAATTTCACAAGACATGGGCAGACTCAACTGTAGTTTCAACTGAGAAACTGAGAGCATCCTATAGTTGAAGCTAAATCCAAAAGCTCTAGAGAATTCCTGGAAACTTGCCATTCAGGCCAAGTAATAAAAAATAATAAAGGCAAGATTTTTAAAAAAATCTAATGAAATAAATATGTAAATGAGATATACATTAGATATTCATGTCTAACTCCCATATTTTGAGATGGATGAGAGAGATAAATTAGGTCCAGATATTAAACATGAATTCATGTATGCATTTTTCTATGACTAATTTAGAAAGAGACATGTATAAGACAGTAAATTGAACCTTATCTTTTTATACTTAGTCAAATGTTTGCCTCTGTAAATTGAATGCTTATAAAAATGTTATATAAATACTGTGACTGATCTAACGTACAAATCCATGAGGAAAAGGAAGTATTTAACAGAAATAATAGAGTCCCAGAAGCAGAAACTAACGGATGACATACTAGAGGAATGTAAAATGTTTTAAACATATATAACAAAAATTTGTTGCAATTTTGAGTGTCCTGACAGTTTTATGGCTGCAATTGGGCTGTTATTTTTGGGCCTGACTAGGTTGCTTGTTTTCAAATTTGTCTTATATTGTACAGTAAAACCAGAAAAGAAGGGATAATGTAGCAACAGAATTTTGAAAGCAGCAATTAAGCACATGGGAGGCAGAAAAATATTTAAACCTTCCAGGCTGCTTTTATTTACAATTATTTTGATACGCTAACAATTGTATATGCTAACAATTCAAGAAATAGAAACAAAATTAAATTATTATTAATAATAATAGTTGGAAGTCAATCCTTTTTTTTCTTTTTTCCCCTTGCTTTCCTCCACTTTTCTCTTCCCTTTTCCCTTCCCTAATTTCTCTATTTACTTTTGTATTTTCTTTGTATGCTATATTATAAACTAATAAAATTGTTTAAACCAGAAATAATTATTTGCAATGAAAAAGGTCAAATTGAATAGTGAATGGCCCCCGCATGGTTTATTCTGCAAACAAATAATTTAAAGAAATGCCTGCAAATGCTAATGCTGTTGAGACTGTATAAATGCAAAACAAATACTATTACTAATAAAGGACAATATTTATAGCTCATGGTTGAAATGATGAGTCTTTAGTGCTCTCTGAGCTTGGTTATTTTCTTGCAGATGTTGACTAGCACTGATTATGTTACCTAGTATGGGTAATAAAACTTATGCAACAAAACAATCAAGCTCAGAGAGCATAAAAGATCCCTCAAATACTATTAATAACGTTGAGCTAGTTTGGTTAGGGGATTGAGGTACAACTTTTAGAATGCATTTAAAACAGATCAGATGCTATGTTAGTTGGTGGAATTATTGCTGAATTTTGTTCATGATTGCTCTTTTGACCTAACAGGGAATTTGTAGATTTTCCTTTAGGAGGAGGATGGGGACTGACTATAAAATGTTACTGAAAATCAAATATTTTGTAGGGATGCAAAATAATCACAAAAAGCCACAAATTGCTCACTCTTGTATTAAGCAATCAAATACTCCATAAATAACTACATAATAAAAAAACATTTTCAGGGAACACAGAATGCAAACTCTGATACATCTTCTTACCTTGATGTTCAATGATGCTGGAAACTTGTCCAAAAGGCATTAATTTAACAGATTCAGGAAGAATTATCATTAGGTCTTCAACAAGAGGTGGTTCCTGCTGAATAAATAATTTTAAAAATTCATTTGCATGCTAAGGCCCATATCCTATTTTTTCCAATCTAAGTGGCTTAATTAACACTCACTGCAGCCTATAATTATTTTCTTACTGATATTAATGATTTTTGCGGACAAGCTCTATGCTAAAGATAACCACAAATAAAAAAGTACTTAGTCTCTTCAGTTTTCTAAAACTAGAAAATACTTGTACTTGTGCACTCTGAAAATTGGTCAAAACCACGTCAATCTTCTAAAAATTGGGCATTTTTAGAATACGTTTGTATAATATGGGTGCATCACATGGTTGCAAGGTAACAAGGGAAAGGATAAAAAGAAATAAGACCTTGAAAGTAAATGTGTCTTTGTAGCCCATCTTTCTTCCATGCCTTGTGTACATGACGAAAAGAGGAACTATTAACACTTTTCTGTGAACGATCATTTCGCATCAATTAGGAGGTACATGAAATATAGCACAATTTATGGTGAAATTGAATAAAAGTCCTCATCTACAAATAATTCCACTCCAAAACAATAATTCTCAATGAAAAAATAGATATTTATAAGAGGAGCACAACCTAGCATTTTTCCTCTTTGTTCCTGTTCATATTTAATTCACCAATTCAACCTTGCAAATAACTACCCCAAAGATTTTTTGCAACCGTTTTCTCTGCCAATCTAAGCTATGAATAAGAATATATTATTGGAAAAGAGTCTGCTATAAACATTTATATGAAGGATCAAAGAAATAAAGTACCTCGATTTGCACAATATCTGTTGTCCCCTCATATTCATTATTTTGCTAAATGCAGTTTGGTGATAATTTTTCCCAGGTAACACCCAAATGTGTTTTACAACAGCAAAGACACTTACTTTTTTAGTCAATTCACTTTTTTTTTTAGTAGGAGAATTGTTTTCATTTTTATCTTGTTGATCATCATCGGATAACAATGGAGGAGAGGAAGAGGAGGAAAGAGAAGATGAACTGTCTGCATCAGTATCACTGCAAAGGGAGATACTATTTTTCAACATATGTTCTACCACATTAATTTAAAAAAGCATTAGCAATGATCGTAAGGCTCGACTTGGACTGGAATCTCCTTTTTAGTAATAAGTCACAATGGGCATAAGGGACTTGTGTCAGGTGTGCTGCATGTTGTGTAGTAGCTATTAAGAAAAAACCCTCCATTTCACATAACAACCTACACTACTGCAAAACTGGGAAAGGGAAGTTTTTATAGTTCTTTGTTAACTGTCAAGTTTAAAACTATTAGGATTATTTCTTTGGTCTCATAGCTTTAAAAAGGGAGAGTCTCAATGCATTATTTGCCTTATTACTCACCTATTTATTTATTTATTTATTTACACATATTTATATGCTGCCCTTCTCCCGAAGGACTCAGGGCGGCGAACAAAAGTTGAAAAACAAACGAAAACAGAATAAAATCCTAATTAAAACCAATTAGAAATCTAAAATAATTAAATAGTAATAGTAACCTAAGCTGGCTGACATTAGAATAGAATTCTTTATTGGCCAAGTGTGATTGGACACCAAGGAATTTGTCCTTGGTGCATATGCTCTCAGTGCACATAAAAAGACAAGATACGTTCGTCAAGAATCACAAGGTACAACACTTAACGATAGTCATAGGGTACAAATAAGCAATCCAATCATGCTAGGAAACAATCAATATAAATGGTACGGATACAAGCCACAAAGTTACAGTCATGCTGTCATAAGTGGGAGGAGATGGGTGATAGGGACGACGAGAAGACAGTAATAGTAATAGTAATGCAGACTTAGTGAATAGTTTGACAGTGTTGTGGGAATTAGTTGTTTAGCAGAGTGATGGCATTTGGGGGGAAAAACTGTTGTTTTGTTGTGCAGTGCCCTATAAACGTAGTTTTGAGGGTAGAAGTTGAAACAATTTATATCCAGGATGTGAGGGGTCTGTAGATATTTTCTCAGCCCTCTTTTTGACTCCTGCAGTATACAGGTCCTCAAAGGAAGGCAGGTTGGTAGTAATTGTTTTTTTTCTGCAGTATTTTATTACTGTAACAAAATAATAACAAATGACACCTAGCTTTCCTCTGCCTCAGGAGTGGGCAATTGTGGCCCTTTTACAACCTGTGGACTCCAACTCCCAGAATTCCTGAGACAGCCAAGCTGTCTCAGGAATTCTGGGAGTTGAAGTCCAACAGGTTGTAAAACAGCCACGATTTGGCTGCCTGAACCAGACTCAGAAATGAAAGGTGAAGAAAGCACAAAATGGGAACCTCCCCGACTCACCTGTCCGATTCCGAGACGGCCCCACCTTCCCCTGACAACGGGCCCTTCTTCTCGCTCCGTTGCGCCGGCGGCTTCTCCTTGGAGAGCGCTGCCGTTTGGCGATCGAGGTCTCCGTCCTCTTCGCTGTTACCGCCCTGAAAAGCAGAGGAGGAGGAGGACGGCTGAGGATGGTCCACCACCTTGGCTTCCTCGGACGGCCGCCGCTCCTCTTCTTTATCCGGCGGTGCCTCCACAGCCTCAACCGGCGGGGAAGCCTCCTCACCGCCCGTCCCTGGAGAGGACCGGCCGTTGCTATCCCCCACGGCAGCCGGCTTCCCTTCAGCGGCGGCGCTAGAGTGAGGAGCATCTCCCGCAATCAGGGCGACCCAGGGAGGCTCCGAGGAGTTCGCCGGGGCTCCTTCGCGGAGGAGCTCCGGGGAAAGCGGGCCCGCCGCCTTTGCATCCCAGCTGCCCTCGCAGGCGACCCTCAGCGTCTGCAACCGCTCCGCCACGATCGAGCCTGCGAAGCCGGAGTCGCCGTCCACCGGCGGCGGGAGCGAAGAGGGATCCATGCCCAGATCCATGTGCGGCGGCGCGAAGCGATGACGGCAAGAGATGGCGCGCTGTACGGACGTCACTTCCTGTGTGGTTTCCTTACATGGGAGTGCTTATGTGGGGTCTGTGTAAGCGCAACGGTGTAAACCAGAGGTCTGCAACCTTTAAGACTCGTGGACTTCAACTCCCAGAATTCCACAGCCAGCAAAGCTGGCTGTGGAATTCTGGGAGTTGAAGTCCACGAGTCTTAAAGTCGCCAAGATTGGAGACCCCTGGTGTAAACAATAGGAAGCTCGTAACTTCTGAGGGAAGCTCCGAGTTACGCCCATTTTCATTTAGATCAGCTGCCAATTACAGATTCCTCGAATAATGCCGTGACCCGCCCATCTCCACAAAAACACACTTATCAACCCACTTGTGTTTACACAGGCATTTTGACAGCCGCAAAATACCACACATTGACACACATACGAGCAGTTAACGAATTGCCCCATTAACTCCAGTTTAAGAACCATGGTTATTAGATAGGATGATGATGAAGTCTTGATGACAGGCCCAAAGGCTAACCTCCAAAGACAATTCTTGAAAGATCATTGACATTTTTGACGGGAGTCCTGAATGTAACCAGAAGCGATATAGATTAAACAGCTTCAATAACGATACTAACAAAAGTTCATGGTTGGTTAGCTGAGTTCTTGCTAGTGTTCCAGAAAACTTGCAAAATATATTTTTATATTTTGTCTTATATAGTTTTATATTATGTAAGCTGAGTTGCCATGGGCAACAATATAAAATGAAAAGAAAGGAAGAAAAAGAAAGAAAGAGAAAGAAAGAAAGAAAGAAAGAAGGAGGAGGAGGAGGAGGGGGGGAAAGGGAAAGGGAAAAGGAAAGGAAACATTTTGCACAATGATATGATTTTAGTCTGAGGCCCCAACTCTTTGCAAAGACTATCTGATATTTGTGGCAAGACTACTTTAGCTGCACTGCTAAATATTTTAGTGACTAGGAGAATTAAGATGCCCTGTTTTTCATTGGCACCAGAATTTCACACAGACTAGATTTGAGATATCTGCTTTGCTCTGCAGAGTCCATTTAGGTGCACCAAGAGTAATGTGCTCTAGCATCTGGATATGAATACTAGATTGAAAACAATTCCAGTAATTTGAAAAGGCAAAAGGATGCACAAAGTTATCTTTGTAACAGCAGTTAATTTAATAAACCAACCCAGCCTCTGCAACCATATTTACCTTTGCATGCCACTAAGTGATTGTTCTGTTCCTTCCTTGAATTAGATATATTGAAAAGCCCAAGCTATGGTTGTCTATTCATTCACTGAAACATAATAATGGTCCTAAAGGACAGTGCTCAATGTTAAAGAAAAGGCACTTAATAGAGCAACAGACATTTTCAGTAAAAATTAAAACAAGACAGGATTATATTTAATTCATTAAAGAGTTGGAACCATTTATGAAATAATTGACAGATTGAATGTAATACACATTTTTTCATATAGGTGATTTTTATGAATTGCATGATGAATTGTATAAGGAATTAATTTATACGAAATATAGACTATATTAAGTGGTTCTGTTAAATTACTGTTTAATATTCACACTAGTGCTGTTAAATGCAGTACTCGAGCAGGCTGTAACCTTAATTATTTATGTAGTTTAACTGTCACTTTCAATAAGCTTGTATTACCACAATATGTCAAGGTTAATAATATTAAATAATCTAAAATTATTGAAATATGCATTTTTCTCATTCTTCTTCCAAAAGTACACTTCATTCTTTCATTTGTTAAACAAAAAAGGAAAGATAGTCACTGTGAAGCTTAATAAATACTAAAATCCATATTAGGGCAATTTAGAAACCACCAAATTGTATAAGTTTTTGAGAATTTCAGGATGTTACATGAAGATGTACATTTTATCCCATCATTGAAAATTATAGTTTTCTACAATTCTCATTAAACTTGTTTAGACCGGTGTTTCTAGATCTACAATATGTTCCTTAATTATTCATATTGTTTTTGCTTGTTTTAGTTCGCAGATTTTGATGATGCCAATGAATTCCATTGTGAAAGGTGTTATGGAGACTTACATTGAGGATCTGATGAACTAGTCATCCCTAAAGGAGCGTGGATGCCATTACAGTAAATTTTTCCAGAGTATGGCAAGATCATCCACATGTGTCCTAGACTGCTTCTCTCAAGTACACTAGCAGGATCCAATTTTTTTTTTTTTGTGGTCAGCTGGTGAGTTGAGCAGTTGGATTCCACCTAAGCTCAAAGTTGTAATGTAGTTTATATGGACATAATGTTCAGCTGAGCCTCATTTTTTAATTACTTTTGGAATTACTTTTTATTGCTTTTCAAATATCAAGAACCTTTGGAAGAGTAATTTTTAATCTGTTTCAAGATTGCCATACAGAAACATAGACATAGTCTGAAGCTGCAGCAAATAACTGCAGGCAGGAATATAATTCAAATGCCTAGCAAAGAGTGCTTGCCTGAAAAAATGCTAATTACAACCCACAAAACATTAGCATAGTCCAAATACATTTCTTGAATTACAAAGCCAAAACAGGTAGTCGGCCAGTTTAAGAATCAAAGAGTCACGAACAAGAATCAGTAACAAACAAAGTCACAAACTAGAATTTTGAATGGTTGTTTCCAACAAAGACTCCAAGCAATTGCAGTGGCTACAATTATTCATTCCCCATCTTTACTCCGCTCGCTTCTTTATGAGTCTAGATCTGGGACTTGTGTTGTCATCTGGATACGCTACCTGCCAGTCTCTGGCTGATGAGCCTGTATTGAATCCTGGCTTAATGATTCCTGAAGTTGGCATTTGTGAAGCACTGTGTTGTGGCCCACCAGCAGCCTGCGCGGATCATGGCTGATCCCGACGACGAGGAGGCTGGTGTGGAGTTGTGCCAGTAGCCTGCGCAGCCGGCGCTCACGTCAGACAGCGAGGAGGCTGAAGAGGATGTGGTGCCAGAGGCAGAGAGTCAGCCTGGGCCTTCAGAACCTCCAGAGGCTCCTTCAAGTGGAGAGAGCGAAGTGGAGGAGCCTCTCTTCAATGCTCGACCACGCAGAGCTGCCAGAAGGCAGGAGTGGCTACTCAGGAGGAGGAGGTCTCCTCGAGTGTAAGGTTTGAGGATAATTGGCCAGTCCCTTAGCCTATTTAAGTCGCAGTTAGTAATTTCTTTCTGGAAACAACGTGTAATTATTACAGAGCATCTGGGAGAGTGAGTGTCTTATCGTATCTTGTTTTCTGGGCTGGTTGCCAACCTTTGCTGGACTTTGTTTATTCTTGGTACGTTATAACTTTGATAAGGACCGTTGGTGTGTGTCACAATCCTTGGGAATTCGGAGCTGGGGCAGAACACACTGGCTTAGCTGGAGCTATATTTGGAGTGGGGAATAAATGACAAAAGGATGATTAAAGGTAAAGGTTCCCCTCGCACATATGTGCTAGTTGTTCCCAACTCTAGGGGGCGGTGCTCATCTCCGTTTCAAAGTCAAAAAGCCAGTGCTGTCCGAAGATGTCTCCATGGTCATGTGGCCAGCATGACTAAACACCAAAGGCTCACGGAACACTATTACCTTCCCATCAAAGGTGGTCCCTATTTTTCTACTTGCATTTTTTACATACTGTCGAACTGCTAGGTTGAGAGAAGTTGGGATAAGTAATGGCAGCTCACCCCATTACGCGGCACTAGGGATTCGAACTGCTAAACTGCCGAACTTTCGATCGACAAGCTCAGCGTTTTAGCCACTGAGCCACCGTGTCCCTTTATAAAGGATGATTAGAGTGTTACTTTTGGAAAGTTATAAACTAAGTAATGATCCACATGGATTTTAAATATTTTGAAATTAATTTTAAGAATCCTTTCCATGTCTATGGAAATTTTCAAGCAAAAAAACAAACAAACTCCAGTTGCCTTTTGAAAAGTACCCTTGGGAACAGTCCTTCCCATGGAAAATGCCTGTTGAATTCTGAAAAAAATCATAGGATGGAAGTTAAATGTTGAAAACTACAGGGAAACAGAAGGAATTAAAGATTACAATTAAAAGTGAAGACTTAAATTCAAATTACTAAAACAGAATGGAATGAAATACTTCAACTTTGGACATAGTGAAGGATATTTCTAAACAATGGACTCGGAAGTTAGTTTTACGAATGCAAAAGTAGTGTACAGTTAATATTAGGGAAGAGAAATAACTTCTATCAAACAAGGCTTATGGTAAATTGATTTAAACCAAGAATTAAAAATGACAGACTACAAGAATGATCTGGAAAAACACAATACACTGGACATACAAATGAAAGTGGCTGGTAATATTTAAAAAGGATGTACAAATAATAAATTAGAAAAGTGACTGGGGCAACTTTCCTATAATAGTTTATAAAAGAGGCCAGTTAAAAGTTTTGAAGGATTTGATGAGAAGGGACAAAGAAAAGAGAAAAAGAAATCAAGTTCTAGAATATTATTTGAAGGGATTAAAGTGAGTTAAAAGACTGTTAAAAGTAAAGGGAAGGAATATAACATGGCTTTATTTGATGTTGTTTTTAGTAATTATCATCATTATCAGAGTTGGAAGGGATTTTGAAGGTCCTCTAGTCCAGTTCCCTGTTTAAGCAAGAGACTGTATACAACTTCAGACAAATGGATGTCCAGTCTCTTAAAAGCCTCCAGTGATGAAGCATCCACAAACCCTGCAAGCAAGACAATCCACTGGTTGATTTCTCACTGGTAGGAAATTTCTCCTTACTTCTAGGTTGCTCTCTCCTTGGTTAGTTTCCATCCATTGTTTCTTGTTTTGCCTTCTGGTGCCTTGGAAAAGCCTTATGGACTTTGCTGACCAGGGGTGAAAGCAGGGTTTTAGTATTTGTTTATAGATAAGAGATGATGTAGAGATGAAGAGATTGTTATATTTTAAGAGAAGGTGATAAGTTGTTAAAGTTGTCTGTACTTATGAAAAAGGGGGAACTTACTTCTTTATATATTACTTTCCCCCCCCTTCTCTTTGCTATCCTCATTTTTCTCTTTCTTTTCTATTTTTCTTTTCTTCAGCTGGAGCTAGTCTGCAATTATCAAAGAGAACATA